CGATTTTCGACACGGTATTTCGGTATTTGCCAATTTTTCGTACGGCATTGCGGTATTGCGTACCCCCCATTGTCCCCCTCATCAGGAAAAATTGGAGCATTTGTAAGTAGGGGGAGAGGGAATCCATTATTGGGCCTAAACGGGTGTGTGTCGCTGACCAGAGTATGGTTTTCAGGGAGTCTTTTTGGACTAGCCTGTTCACAGACCCTCTAGTTTCTCTTTAGAGATCGCCAAGCTCGCGTGTGAATCCGCCCTCGTTCTTGCTCTCCCCGCTCGCTCTCGCACGCTCGCTTCCGTCACGTGCTCGCCAATAGACCTTTTCACGGTTTTTTTTTCAACGTTTGCCATGGACAAGTTAGGAAAAATCCGTCGACAACACTAAAAAGAGCGCCTTAAGATTAGTAAAATTGCCAAGTTTGAATGTGATTTGTTGAAAACTAACAAACATACAGCTCCTCAAAGTCGTGAAATTTTACAGAGGTTTCAGGGGGCACAAACGTGCCCCCCAACCCACCATACAAACGTCTGTAAATTTTCGAAACTTTGCGGAACAATATCTACGCTCGCTAAAGACGTATTACTTTCAAACTTGGCAATATTACTAATTTAAAGGCGCTCTTTCCAGTGGTTTCGACGGATTTTCTCTAACTTGTCCATGTCAAAAGTTCAAAAAACCGTGAAGAAGTCTATTTTAGAAGAGAAAAAGAAAACAAGTTCTGGGTACAAGCTTGGCTTTAAAAGGACTACATTGGCGGTACCAAGGATTTTTTTCAAAAAAATCATATTCCATGATGTCAGTGTTAAAAATTGCTAAATTCTGTATGCGAAACAAAATGAATCAGGGTCATAAAATAAGGTCTCTTGCGTTAAACAGGGTAGCGAAATGACCGATTTTTGTTTTAACCCTTTAAACCCTACGATCAAAATTAAAATTCTCATTTGTCGCCCCCATTCATTTACTATAGAAGTAGAGGGGAGAAGTTGATAAAATATCAAGCAAATTCATCTTGTGTGATCATATCCTTAATTCTCATGACCACTCTATTGTATAAAGCATTGCTATCACAAGGAGAAATTTGATGCTGATCACTTTAGGGTTTAAAGGGTTAAAAATGTTTTTTCAGTTTTCTGTGAGTGCATCGGTATAACAAACAATAGGCAATTGACCGATAAACACATGTATCATATCATTAACCCTGTTATGGGAAATTAACACGAATTTCACATTTTTGCTAACGTGAATTTCCGCTCCATTTATTGATGGAACGTTAATTTCCGTGACCTTAATTTCCGTTACTACACTCCTGACTTTCGCGGGGACTCCTTAACACTCAGGAAGGCGGTGTGTTTTATCAGAGTGGAAATCCGCCGGTATCAGTGAAACTGTGAAGAAACCTCGACGTGGTCAGATTCCTTCGCTTAATCCCCTTGTTTGTGGATAGTACTACAAACTATGTTTGAGTTTTGGATTATACGTTTGAATTTGTTACAGTGTTGTCTCGACAAGTTTTGCTTCTTTGTGTACGTCGCATTACCCTGGGTACCAGACGTTTTTCCCACGGCGGGAATTTTCGGTGTTGGCCGAAGGCCGACACATCTTCGGCAGTAGGCCACCGGTCACTACAAAGACTTGACAGAAACCGGAAACCGCGCTAGAAAAGTCTCTGGCACCCAGGGTAACGTCGCGTTTACTTCCTTCGTTGGAATGTGGGTCTTTGCAAGGGCACCCAACGACGGTTTGCCCCTAAATACATTGAAATCACTTTTAAGGCTATTCAGAGTTCTTTTAGATCTCCTAGAAATGCATCCCAAGCGGCACTCTAAAGTTTGTATCTGTTCGGTCATCACAGGGGAACTTGAGTCTTTTCGAAATTACAAGGGCTTCAGTTACATTTTCCCGAAAATTTTAGATGCAATTTCACTTATTTTGAAAGTGAGAATTTTTCTGATTACTCTTCTATCACAGTTTTGAATCCAGAAAACTTTAGGTTTCCTTTTTTTCTACGAGAAAAAGCCAAACCTGGGGAGTGAAATGTGAAAAATTAAGAAGTTAATTTACCAATTACTTAAACTTCCTTTTTAACCGTCAACCGTCAAAAGCTCTAAAATTTCAATAACCGTCAATCGTCAAATTTAGAAAAAATAACGCCGTCAACCGTCTAAGCTACCACCCCATTGAGACCCTCTGAAATTCTACCCTCTCTTCCGCGTTAATTAACTTTAATTAACAGTAGACGGACGCAACAGGTAACATCCAACAACATCCTTCCTTCGATTCATGTCGCATTAATTAAAGTCGCGTTAATTTCAATTACCATAATTAACACCAGCATCCATTTCCTATTATAAGGTATGGTATTGTGTAGATTTCTCGTCATGTAAACGCTCAACAAAATAACAAAGACTGTCCAAATCTCTAAAATTTTAGTAACCGTCAATCGTCAAATTTAGAACAAGTTAACCGTCAACCGTCTAAGTTACCATCCCATTGAGACCCTCTGAAATGCTAACCTCTCTTTCGTGTTAATTACCTTTAATTGAAAGTAATTTGTCCTTCATTTCGCTTTTATTAAAGTCGCGTTGATTTCAATTACTGTAATTAACACAAGCATCCATTTCCTATAATAAGTTATTTTGTAAATTTCTGGTCACGTAAACGCTCAACAAAATTACAAAGCCACAAAATTACAAAGAAATGTCCATGATGAGACCTTTCAAATAAAAACTCCTTTTTGGTCGAACTTTCACATAGTGCCAGTTGATCTTAATAATAATAATGATAATAATAACAACAACAATAATAATAATGATAATTGTTAAAAACTGAATAATAATAAAATAAGCAATAGAAAATTTACATGTAAAAAAGCTATTTTAAATAACTACCTAGTTCTTTCTTAAAAGAAGGTAAAGAAAATTGGTCTCTGAGACTATCTGGCAGTGCTTTCCAGAGAATGGGTGCTGCAACTGAGAAGGCTCTACAACCATAACTTTTTGCAGTGGTATTGCTCATGTGGTAAGTAGTTTTTTGAGTTTGATTTTCACTATATTACAACCTTTATACTACTACATGAGAAATTTCTGCAATCTGATTGGCTTAGAGCAGTGGTATTTCAGCTTAATTTGAAATACCTACATGTGAAAATTACAAACCTTTTGCGGGTAGTAGTATAAACAAATAATAGCATGATTTGTACGTAATATTTGGCATAAATACCACTCGTGATATTTCAAAATTGTCTCAAATTTCACTCGCCTAACGGCTCGTGAAATTATGTATAACAATTTCGAAATATCACTCGTGGTATTTATGTCAAATACCACTACAAATCATGCTATTACCTATACTAATTCAATGATTTTTGGTCCACAATATTTTTATGCTTAGTACTCAGTTAAGCCCCCATCCAATGTTGGATGTTACATGTTGTGTCCACTTGCACACCCTGCTGCATGATGTTGGGAGTCGTCGTACAAAGTTTGAAACTGGTCAAAATTTTGAGCCACAAACTCCCAACATTTCTTTTGTTCCGTGATCGCTGAAGAGTAATGCAACAATGTTGGATCCATTTGCAAAGCTCTTTCCAACATGGTTGGGGCCGTGCATGCACATCACAAATCGTTTACAAAGTCTTATGAGTTGTATCCTTCCCATGATGCACTGTTGGGAGTTTCTGCATCCATTTACACAGCACTGCCAAAATGGATGCAACAACTCCCAATATTGTTGGCCCAACAGTGTTGGGAGTTGTTGCATCCATTTGCAAGTAACTTTAGGGAACGAAGAGTTTAAACTTCCAACTTACCAATTATAGCAACTGCCTTATCTAGAGCATTGTACAAAGCCCAGAAGTTTGGAGCCCAGTAGGCGTGGCATAAACCACGCTTGAAAGGAAACAGTCTAGATAATACTTGATTCAACTGATCCTGAAATCAGAAACAGCAAAGTTAAATGATGTTTTTGATAGCACAACCATCAAAGGAGGATGGTGGCATGAGTATTATTTAGAGGGCAGAGGAAGGGAGGGGAGGGGAGGGGAGGGTTCTTTCTGGAGAGGGCTATCATTCAACAGGTCGAGCCACAATAGCTCGGGCATTCATGAGCTTATCACACCATCCATCGCAGTCCTGCAGCAAAGCAGGGAGGTCGTTTGGAAGGCATCCCTTGTCTCTACAGAGTTGGTCGATATAGGTGATTGCAGGGTGACCAACCCGCCTTCTACCACGGCTAGGTGACCAGAGCAGCAGTACATTGCTAGTGAGTTCTTGTTTTGCTCACCAGGAGTGACCTGCAAAATGCATTCTTTGTTCACGTAAGATTGTAGAAATGTCAGGGATGGGTCCATGAAGCTGCAGTTTGGTTGGATGTTTGCAATTTGGAGAGGCTATAACTACAAAATAATAAGGTTAAAATGAATGGTGTACAACAGTCCTTTCACAATGATCTTTTTTTTATTTGCTAGTATAAATTATTTCCTACGTTACTTGTTAATAAAAGGCAGGGTGCAAAGAAAGACAGTTTTACAGCTTGCTATCTGGGCAAGCTGTAGCTAGCATGTACTAGCCCAACAGTCATTTCAACTAACTCAAAAACTTTTTGATGAACAGGATTGATCACAGTTCTTCTGCAATTTGAATTCCCCAAAACTGCCCTTTCCCTATAAGGACAGTTAAGAACAGAATTCACTAGCCAGATAACAAAATCCACTAGCCCCAGGCTATCAAACACTTCTTTCTTTGCATGCTGAGACAATTCAAAGAAGAAAAGGGGAAGGACTTACAGTAATAAAATTATTGAAACAACCTACCATGACTATGAAAGGCCCAAATGAAGCACCAAAAACAAGCACAACTATAACGCCAAGTCTCAATAAATGTAAGGGAGACAAATCCCAGATATTCACACCGAAAATAATCAGCTGCTTATCTGTAAATAATGGAAAGTAAAAACAAAAAAATTTCAACAAAATAAATGCCGCATAGACCATTAGGGGGAATTACTACTTTTGGTCCCCTCTGGTACGAAGGCTCACAAACATTCTGTAGCCTACAAAATGAGTGTTATTTTTTCATGATGTTGGAAGAAACGTGGGAAAAAATTTTTTTCTGCGCTTTCACCCATTGTGCGTCTCATTTTCAAAACCTGCTTTGCACTTGCCTTAAAAGCATGAAAAGAAAAAGTTCCTATTCTGCAAGCTACAGAAACAAGGATTCTTTTATAACTTCACTGTTTGTAAACGCACTCACAGGAACGAAAGGATGGGAAGAGAAGCAGAGGGGAAGCGGGGAGGGGATGGGAGGAGAATGGAAAAGGGAAGAGGAGAGGAAAAGAGAGGAGAAGAGGAGAGAAGAGAAGACTGCTTCAGTACCATGAGAACTGTACAGAATGAAAAGTTTGGAGAATTGGCTACGTCATGATGTTGGCACCTTGTGCCCTATTGCTAATCTAGATTGTTAACAAAGTATCATTACCTTTCTTTCCTGATGCAGAAGGACGAAAACAGTACGTCCGTAAAAGAAACACAAAGTAGGCAGGAGCAATGTAAAGGAATATGTGCTTGAAATTTAACAACACAGCAAACCAAAATGAACCCTCCAATGTCTGACCCTGAAACAAATGAATGATTATTTGTACAGATTATGGGGTTTACAAATTCCTCTTCCACTTTGAAGGCAGTTTAACTGCTTCTCTACAATTTTGAAAAATGCAAAATGACTTTACAAAGGTACATGGTTTATTACAGTTAGAATCCTAATTTCTCAAAGCCTCAGTTTTTCCAATAATTTGAACTAAACCTAATGTCCCTTCACCACACAGACACTGTAATTTTACCCCTTTGGGTGCTCCCTCTGGAAGACCACCAATTAAAAGGCTGATTGATGTATTATCTCAGTTAATAGTTCTTCAAATCTCGTTATCTTACTTGTACATTGATTTCATACACAATGTTTTCTAAATAACATACCTAGTACCACTACCTCATTTTGAAAGTGATGTAAAGTAAGTTCACAACAACAACAATAACAACATAAACTTTATTTATACTCGAATTTCAGAGTAGCTAACAAACTGACACTACATGAGAATAATATAGAAATATATATACACATTAAATGCATTATAAGTAATAATAATAAAATAATACTAATAATAATAAGCACATAAAAAAAAAGAAAAGAAAGAAAATATTGAAATATTATTTACGATTCACAAAGTTTGTGTGGAAAAGAAAGCAGAACAGAACTTATGGCCAAATAATTAGTTTAATTTCAAACATCAAAGACCTCAATATGAATAATAGTTATTGCTACACATACCTCAGACAGCTTTGTTATGGAAAGGAGAAGAAGGCCGAAGAGAAATCCATTGTACTGAAAGTGAATGTCTGAAGAAAAGTTAAGGAACATATTCAGCCTACCAAATGAAATACTCAGTCGTCGAAGGAGCTAAAGGAGCCAAGAAGAGTATCAATTTTCAAACCTTTTCATATTTTTGCACAAGGTCTGTCTAATCATACGATGTGAACTTACATAAACATGTGCGCTGCTTCAGTATTGAAAGGAAACACTTCGGCTGCAAATTTTGCTGTCCAATTTTGGGCTCAAATTAGAAATGTAACAACTTTTTAGCCCAGATGAAAATTACCTTGGGAATCAGCCCCTAAGATCAGTTTCATAATAATAATAGATAATAATCATTTCACTTTCTAAAGTGCCAAAATCCTTATAGTTCTAAGGCGCTTTATAAAGTATGTACAAAAAGTTAAAGATTACAAGTGTAAACTTTCAAATTTACAAGTATAAAACATCAATAATTTATGAAAAAAGGGCAATAAAAGTTTACTTGGAAAACAAACAAACATAGATAGATGTTAACTAAATGTTCTGTTAAAAAGAAACGTCTCCAACTTATTCTTAAAGATATCGTCCAACTGGGAGTAAATTAATTCAAGGGGCAAAGAGTTCCATAATTTTGGAGCACAGACTGAGAACGCATGATCACCATATGTCTTCAAATTACAGAAAGCAACAGAAAGTAGATTTGACGAGGATGACCTAAGCTTGCGTGTCGAAGAGTAAAATTAATATTTAATGGCTAGGTCTGTATATAAAGAGGTGCTAAGTGATGTAAAGCTTTGCAAGTAAAAAGTAGAATTTAAAGGATAATACTTTCATTAACTGGGAGCCAGTGAAGCTCTTGTAGTATTGATTTGTATGTAAGGATATGATCCACAATAAGAAGTCCAAAATTGAACACAACAAGCAAGGCTAAGATTAGACAATTACGTGTTGGAACAGAAGCCTTTCTTGCAAGATAACCACAGTACCTACAAATTAAATGTTACAATAGACCATGTAAACCAGTATTAAAAAAGAAGGAAAAGGATAAAACATGGCAGTGCGGAGATAAGAAATTTATCTTTGAACATTGAAAAATATAAATTTCGTAACTCCAAGCAGCCATGTAATGTTCTATTACATTATATAAAAAGAAATGAAAATCCAAACCATTTCATGACAATATTTTTTCTGCCACGAAAGGCACAATTTATTATGTAGCATAGCAACAGTGACCTTTTCATGTGTGAAGATATCATGTTTTTGGGCAAAAGTTGTATATAATAATAATGATTATTTAATGCTGAAAGTTAATTTTGTGTTACAAACTTTCACAAAGCAGGGCAAAAAATGTACCAAAATTTTACATTGAAGATTAAAGCATTGGATTAGAAAACTTTTGAATGTTTATCTCTTTCACTTTAATCTACACTGACTTATGGCAAGATGATTTAAAACTCTAACTAGGAAAAAAATTTTTTGGTGTTACCATCAAATGAACAAATCTCTTTGGTATAACTTTGCACAGACTTTATATAATTCTTATAATGGGATATAATTACAAAAAAGTGGACATACAATGTGAAGGCAATGTGTGGTTCCAAAAATTATCCATACCTCCCCCACGGAAGAGATTTTTCCTTAGACCCCCCCCCCACCCACCACCTCTCTGGAAATTCCAGTCAAGCTTCATACATTTACTTAAATTTTTGGGCCTTTGAGAACCCCCTACCCTCCAGGAATTTCCAATCCCTTCTGTGGGGGGAGTATGGATATTTTCTGGAACTACACTATGAAGAACACTGTGAAGAAGTTGTCTATTGATACCACATGGCTGAAATACTGCTATACTCACTCCTTTATAGCATAAGCCAGAAGAAGATCTGTAAAAATAACTGATCCTCTTTGGAACAGGATGGTTGACTGGCTGACATACTTCAGTTTGCTTATAACAACCATTTGTGGGTCGACAATGGCAGCAGCTTGTGATAATAAATATTCAAACCAGGCAAAGAGAGGCGGATAGTCCAAAGTCCACTCCGAGGTTTTCTACCAAACATAAAAAGAGTTGAGTTAAGAAGAGTTGCAGGGCTGATCCAGATACTAAGACAAGAGAGCCATGCCAGCTTTGTTTTGGCTTTTAAAATGTTAGGGTGGGGGCAAGCATCACCTCAGGGTGTTCATTAAGCATTGGAGATCGGAAAATTATCCAGTTACTACACTGAATTCTCCGGCTAATGTTCAGTAGCCTAGGACGGTTTTTTATTCAGACATGGAACCACTTTCAAAATCTTGCATCTGTCCAAACCTCTCCACTAGGTCTGCCAATGTATTAAGTGTGACTTTGACACTTGCTAGTGAAAACCAGCCTTTTCAGTTGTAGATGTCTGAGTCACATTATTGAGACAGAGTAAGCTTATGAATAGTAGCATAATAAATTAATATTCCTTGGGTTAACTGGCTGCCTCACTAAATAGAAGGTGGGTGCCTGGGGTATCCAGGGGCTACCACTGTGGCCAACAACCTTTCACACAAGCCTGCACGTGTGAGTTTGACTGCTGACAAGCGGAGACTACTATGCTCATGGCAGTTAACTCTGTTAAAATTTGCATGTAACTTAATATATAAAATAAAGTCAAGAAAACACTGTACCTCGTAATACCATTTGGACAGAGGGAGACTGTAGGTGATAGCAAGCCAGTTCCTGTGTACTTCAAAATCACTAGAATGACTGAAAAATTTCCACAGAGAAAAGGGAAAACAGAACCAATGCAAAGAAAATAATGTCATTCTAATCCCATTCCTTGGGCATGTTTTCTAAACTTAAAAATGAGAAAGTTCTAAACCTGTAATCAGCGATAATGATTGATTATTACCTTCTGTGCTGATATGTATAAGTTTAATAATATTGCAATTTCCAAATCAACTTTTTCAAAAAAAGGTCAAACGTTTAAATTAACAATATGTTTAGTTAGTAACTGTCTGCAAAAAGCAAGCTTCAGTCAAACACAATGATATCTTCGTGAAAGAACTGTATTCTTTAACATATGTAGTTACTCACACTGTCAATTAAATGTTAGTTTCAAGGATTTCTGATGATTATCAAATATTGTTAATGAATCAGGTTAATAACAAATCTGTACCACTTTAATTTGTACCAGCCAGTGAGGATCAAGACAATTACTGTAAATAAGAATTATTGAAATACAACATGGGACATGAATAAAAACACTTACAACACTCTAGATTTCCATTATTCATTGTTCTTAAGTTGCTGGGATGTTGGACTATGGGTCAGGCCCTTAAGAGGAGGCATGCAAATATGGACACGATCGATATAAACACACATCAAAGACGGCAAAAGTTAAAGAAATATAAAGCTGATGAAAATGGGTGAAGTCTCCCTCCCATATCTGAAAACAGCAACAGATTCCTTAGACGTTTAGTACCTAGTCATGTGTAGTTCAGGTTGATTAATCTATAGTATTTTCTATGAGAAACTTAAATATTTACCTCTAATGCAATGGAATATTATAACGTGTGCAAAAAGGCTATTATTATTATTTCTCATAGCTAACAAGTTGTTATGATCAAGTGAATCATAATTTAATAGATTAAGCTGATAAAGATCCTCACAAGAAAATGTCACGCCCTTATTAACCCTTTAAACCCTAATATCAAAATTCAAATTCTCATTTGTTGTCCCTATATGTTTTCAATAGAAGCAGTGGGCAGAATTTGTTGAAGTATCAATTAGATTCATCTTGTGTGATCAGGCCCTCAATTCTCATGACCACTGTGTTTTATAAAGCAGTGATATTACAAGGAGAAATTTGACGCTGATCACTCTTAGGGCTTAAACGGTTAACATACTAGGATATAGACATTGCATTTGTGGTTAGTATGACACAGCATGATTCAAGCTGTGAATACTAACCACAAGTGCAATATGTATATGTGTTATTTTTATATCACATGGAACTTGTCGGTTGCTTGTTTTGTGGTATGCAAATATAATAGCGCGTTACAAAGATCAATATAAGAAAGATACAAAAATTAAACAATCAATCCTTTGCAATTAAAAATTACAGAATAAAAAATGGAAATATTTAAAAAAATTTGAATGGTCGATTGAATTATCAGAAATGCATTAGGTGGCCAAAGTCTTTTGAATCTTAATGAAGAAAGTGTGACTGTATTTTTCAAAGGGTTTAATCTACAGTTTTGACACCAGCATATCATTTATGTATTCTGAAGTTGTATGAAATGGAATGATATTGAATATGTGGTAAATTTTGCATCAATAATAGCAGTGTTTGTTTAGGTGTCTACACAGGCTTTGACATGCTTAGTTAGCTGAGTACACATGTGGATAAATGTATTATGCCTAAGTTAAAGTCTTAGACAAGTAAAACAAATTAAAATAAAAACATATGACCTGAATTTGAAAGAAACTGATCTTTAATTGAAAAGTTAGACCAACTATGGTAGTCCCAAGTCAATTCTTTGTGCATATTACAGTGACAAGTAAATTATAAAATCTGTGTGCCTCAAGCAAATGTTTCACATGAAATGTAAAGAACGATCACTGTATTTATTCAAATTTATTTTTTGCTTTCAAAGTTAAGCTTTATACACGAGCTTGCATATTCTCCCTCAAGCCTTATTCAGATGCACTGATTTTTCACCATTTTATCGCTTACCGCCGAAACGGAGTTGAAAATTCCCAGAGAAATGGTTTTGATAGTTCTGCAGTGTAGGCTACAGTGTTTGAGATCAGAAATCTTTGTAAGTCTTAAGTGAGGAAAGTAGATCGTTAAAATACAGTGTAAAATAATAGGTGAAGTTGAATATCGACTAACGCAATCACACATGTACATTACACTTTAAAATGTTTAAAAGAACTAAAGGCTAGATAATAGAACACCCGCGAATTAAATGAATGGTACTAAGCTGGAATCAACAGTGACTTGAGGATAGCTGAGAACAGAACAACGCTTTTCCACCATCCCATGTCGTCCGAAATTGCCGCCATGTTGGATTAATGTGGCAACGCGCATGAACAACAGCAGAGGCCGCTGCTTGACTCTAAGCCCTCGGTATCGTGTTCGTCTGCGTGTTGTTGAACCGTGACACACTTGGCTTTAGTCAGCTTTTAGATCAGATGGCATGACACACGCATGGCGAGCAAAAAGGTCTCTGTTTCCTCGACTTCTCTGTCTATGACTCTTCCAATTTCTTGCCAGATATGTCTTGGAAAGGTGAGTGCTCCTAATACGAGTAAAAATGCTTGTGTTTCTTGGTATTGCTATTCATATTTGTGGCGTAAAGTTCGGCCAAGCTCATTGTTTTTGTTTCGCGTTTCAAAGGTTAGAGAACCCGTTGTTTGCCCCAATCAACATGTGTTCTGCTCAACCTGCATGGATACCTGGCTTCGATCGCACTCATTTTGTCCAACGTGCCGTACATCTATTACTACAGAGCAGCCTTGCAAGAAAATCCTAGGTGAGAAAATATAGGGATGAATTCTGATGCCAGTGGGGAAACCGGGAAGCTAAAGCCTAAATATTCATGTAGCAGTCTTCATTGTTTATACAGACCAAAGAACAATGAAACCTTGAAGGCCAATTCAGAACTTCCTTTTGTTTGAAAGTGTTACGGTGTGAAACCTGCCTTGTGAAATCTGCCTAGTTACTTTCCGCGAAACCATGAGTATGCTCGATTGATAGAAGGTCGAATTGTGCGGGAAATGCCAAAACCAATCAGCTTCTTCGAGTTTGCGAAAAGTTCTCGTTGCCCCGGGGTTAACACGTCCTCTAAGAGGGAGACACTTTTTTGGTTCAAATTAACATTATTACGGTTGACACTGCTCAACTAGATCGAGTTAAATGGGGTTAAAATTTCGCACGTTATATCAGATGTGATTATTACGCCCAGGAGTTGCAATATATTTTGACCAATTTTCCGGACCTGACAGTCCATTTACAACGGCAAGTGTACACCCATTGACGTAATACGAGAAATACCGAAAGAAAACTAATCCAGCGTCCCCTTGCTTGATCTGAGAAGCTGAGAAAATTGCGCCAAAAAGCCCTGCCCTCTGACTTTGAACAAAATTCTGTGTCGGACTTATGGGTCATTGACCGTCTGTTGTGCTTGCATACTGATCATATTTGCCTTGATTCTGAACCTCCTAGAGACTACTTAATAATGACATTCGTGACCTCAACAACCTAAACCCATATCAGCAACAAAAGGAGTGACATAATAACTTTATTGTACCCAATCAGGTGGGGATTCTTTTATAACCTGATCTTTTATAGCAGTTTTTAATTGAAAGGCATCTGTTGTTCACGTTTATGCCGCAAGCTGTCAGTTTTTACAAAGCAGGATGTTGTTTAACTCCAATTTCCTGCCGTTACACTGAAGTGATTTAATTTGACTAATAAAATTGTATGGTTTCTGTGGCAACTAAAGTGACCCTCCTCTATTTTTGCTCCAGACAGACAATTTGTCTGAATTTTAATGTATCTCTTCCCTCTAGGATCCAATATCTGTATCACGGTCCCTGATAAATTTCACCACAGAAAGTGAACACTTGACAAATTTTGTCCAAAAATTTGCCCCCAAGTTTATTTTCGTTTTTCAATCTTATATCAGGAAGTATTGACTTGCCCGTGAACTCTGATGCCGTGACCAGAGCTGAGCTGAGAAGAACCAGACTTGATTTAATCAGACGAGAATATGAGGTACATTTACACGTGATCACTGGTTGCTACTATTTCTGAAAACGTGATCATCAGTAAAAGAGTGGATCCCAACTATACTGCACTTCAACCACTATCCATGATATAACATCACTCCTTTGCTTTGATTACCAAGGAAGAAAATGTTGCATTGAAAAGTACATCCAAACAACATCATTTTCAGGCATCGCGTGATCTGAATACAAAGCCTTTTTTGAATATTCAGACAAAGGGGCTGACCTAGAATTCATCAATGTTATGTCATCTTCCTTGCTCCTGTGTGGTCAAAATGATATTAATAGTGACGCTTTTGATCATGGCTTTCTCGTTTACACTTGCGCCTAACAAAAATTTTGAATTATTATATTCAATGTACAAGTTCAAATTTGGAAATAATCATATTTTTGACTCTTCAAATTTTTATCCATATTATTTTAACTGAGCAGGCCTTATTCAATCCTTAAATCTGTACCAATTAACATTCAAGATGAGATTTATCTAGCTTGTTGCCGCACCAGGTCATTGCCAAGTATGTTGACTATGTGTACGCATTTATTATTATTTTATTATTTGTCTATCCCTCGCACGCAATGCTCTTCATCACTTTTCATAAGTTTTTGGCGTAGCGCCTGGTCAAAGTTTGAATTTTGTTTCGAGATGAAGTGGTGTTAAAATTATATGAAGACAAAACCCCATCACCTGGTTCAAAATTGGTCCATAGTTTAAAACAGACACTCGCAGTCTTAAATACTATTTTGTGTATGTTTTGAGTGGTGATGCTCACCAAGTCATCCATGTGATAACAATTTATTCTAGATGTTTATGAATCACACCAAAAACAATAACGCCTAGCGTAGCAAGTCCAAAGTTCGCTAAGCAATACTCATTGTTTACGCCAAATTTTTTTGTCATGAAAATATGCCAAACACTGAGTCAAGAAGCTTTTGTGTCACGGAACAGTGCGGAACAGAATGGGGGGCACGTGACAGTTGTGCTGTTGCAGCTGGCCCAACAGCCATAACTAGTAACTTATGTTTCATCAAGAACTTTTGATTTTTGTGCAGAACTGATATGCTCAGTATCTTTGATTAAGTTGGTTCGTGCTTTGGGGCTGGTTTCAATTTTTCTTAGAATGTTGCGGCCTTGAATGAATATCAGTACCGGTGGTGTCATATTGCCTGCAATAAGAAAAGTTATGTACTTTTGGAAGCTTAGGAAAGTGCTTTGTGCAAAAGTTGAAAATTTTGAGAAAATAAGTTCCAAGTCCGGCTTAGTCGAGTAAACATGCACTTTGCACTGGATGGAAAAGTTAACTGTTGCCTGGAATTACCCGTAATTTTGTCCTCTATATAATGGTGGCATATACGGTGCATTTGCTTGTGGTAAATTTTACCTTATCCAATCTTTAGAAGATAAAATCCAAAAATATGTGCATAATCCTATTAGCCATTAATTGTTTGGCTGTCCTATTATGTCTAAAATGGACATTACCCTCGTCCGTAATCAATTCACCAGCATTAGGTGAACCAAAAAAAACCCACCCAATCCATGTCAACCCATCTCCTGAAAATCAATTTTTGACTATCAAAATTCCTACCATTTTTTCATAAAATGATGGAAACCACTGGTATATATGTACATTTTAATTGGGTCTAGAGTTACAGGAAGTTTAGTCCTGAAATACCTTGTTTTGTAAGCCATAACCATGACACACACCCTATGCATGTAATAAACCTTGTTCTCTAAGTCTTGAACTGACACAAGCATGCTATGCAATGTATTTTTTTAAAATTCTGCCACAAATAGAAATGAGGGTGTGCAGTGGAATCTTAAGTTGTGTGTATTAGACAACCCGTGGGTCAAACAAACACAATTCTTTTGGCAGACCATCACTTCCAATCACCTTGGCATCTCATGAGAGATCTTCCTTCAGATCATATTCCCAATCTGGTTGATGCGAAACAGCTGGTAGACATGCGCGATAAATATTGTCTTTATATCCTGCTCAAAGTCCATTGCATGCTGTAGAGGAATACATTGTGTTGCTCCTGAAACATCCTTTACTTCCCCAATGGATGGTTTATTGATCTGAAATTTTAAAAATTCCAGAATAGGTCCATTCAAGTACTTTCTTTTTTTCGCTTCAAGAGCTGCTGTTCTCCTCACCCTTTGAATTTCTACTGACCTTCCACGCGAAATGTATGAATATTTTCTCGAATCAACTTTCTAATGTTCCACAACCTGGATGGTGCAGACATAACATAGAAAGAATTTTAAGGAGGTGCCTTCCCCACTCCCCCCCCCACCCTTACTTTGGAATTTCTTTCTGTTAGCTGCTATTTTCTGGAAGCAGTTATTAGTGAATGGTTAAAAAATATTTTTAATTTAGCAGTTGATTTACGCTGTCAATGAGATGATTTCAAGATATGCTAAGAAAGAAAGACATTTTTCACAATTCTAGTTGCATAATACGTACATTGTGTAATCAAAGTACTTTCATTCTTGTTTTTTTCAATGCATTCTAGTCATCAGTAGATTAAACATATTTTCTTTGGGAAAATACACCACCAAATAAGTGATCTATTTGGAAGGAATATTTTTCTAATCACCATGATAAAATCAAATTGCTAAGGTGAGTCGCATGATCCAACCACCCCTCCCTCGTGACTGTCAGGAAGTATGAGCTGTATCTTTAATGAGCCTTTTTTGGTGGGGATACGTAATCCCTAGTCTTGATTTCAAAACCTGTTGTTTCAAGTATTGTGGAGGAAGTTGTGTTTCTGTTCTTTCCTTCATTGCTGTCGCAGTTTGAACTTAACTTTGTGTCATTTGTTCTCATTTCATCTGGCCTGTGTCACTGTTTCGAGGCCACGTTCCATGATTTTGCCTCAGTTATTAAGCTGTTTTTATTTTCCTTAAATAATCTTGTCAGTCTGCAACCCTAGACCCTTGGCTAATAAATTATGATGTCTGTTTCAGTCTTTTTTCCCATCTTGTCCCCACATATGGGCCATTCCAAAATATGAGTTTACTTTTACCTGGTTGATTCCGAAAAAGTAATGGTTACACCGTATATATAATGGATTTTGATTAAAAGCAGGGCAACAAAATGGTGGTGATTACATTCACAGTTATGTAACCTTATCCACCAGGCCCTGGTTGTTCACTATCCGATGGATAAATCACTATCCAGTGGATAGACATGAGGGAAACCAGTTGCATTATTCACTGGATAGAGATTTATCTGGTGGATAGCGTTATCCTCCTTTTAAACAATTGGGGCCAGATGATCACTTTAAGCAAACAAACAGTATTGTTGAAAATCCTCACTAACAGTGAAAATTAGGACTAAGATTTCCTTTTGAAATAAGGTCTTTCACTGTTGTTGCCATTACCTTAGTCAATGAATTTAATTTTTTAAATAATTTTTAAAAACACAATGATTCTTTTACGTTTGTGGAACATGTTTCAGTGTTTCAAACTTCATCTTTAGCCATAGTAATAGCGTACAAGTAACTTGGTATATAATAATTATATAACTATCCAAACAATGATTGCTTCGTTACACATAATTATTAAAGCTAGCCAATAATATGAAAGAAAACTAAACGAACTATAAGGGTAACTTAAAAGTGTCATTGTGTTTTTAAAAACTATTGCTGCATTGTGCTATCAAGACCTTTTGGAAATTTTTTAAATGCAGAAAAAGGTGTGGTGCCATGCACCACCAAAATTACTGCCAGAGAGGTTGTCAGACCTTTGATGGGTCACTTGTTTGTTCAGTCACATAATTATATATTATTAAAAGCTCACAGAGTCGTCATAACTCAGTGTCCTTGACATTTTCTTTTGCTAAATAAGGAAATTATTTTCTTTGTAGGATGAGCTTAAATCACTTCAGAACACCGTTGAGAGACTAAAGTCTGAAAATAAACAGCTTCACGAGAAAATGATTGAAAGAGAAAGAACGATGGCCTCCATGGACTTCACCACCAGAAACAGAGGACCAGACGATGGTCCTGGTAAACTTGACATTGATATGTTGGTTAAACTGACTACCAGGTTGCAAGAAGCAAGCCACACTTATGAGAGTTTGAGAGGAGATATGGATAAGATCAAAGAGGTACACATAATTATTCCTATAATGTTATTAATAATATTATTCCTAGACTATCACTCAATTAAGCAGGGACTGCATCAGGGTTTTCGTTTCAGGCCAGACGGTGATGTTGGATGCAACATCTGGTTGTTTAACATGTACATGTATTGTCCATAAGTTCACGCAGAGGATAATAATAATTTATTATTTTTTAAGTGTGAAAGGTTTGAACCCAGGAGTCATTTCAAAAGGTTGAGTTTGATCGTCTGGGTGAACGTAGTCCTGAATAGGACTGTTGTTGTTGACAGTGACTGACGTTTCGACAACCTGTGCGGTAGTCATCTTCAGAGTCAAAGGGAGTTGTGTCACGTCAGTTGATGGTATTATACTCTGGTTATTGATCTGATTGGTCAATTACGTCGCAATGTTATTGGTCGTGTGTCAGTTAAGCCGTGATGTTATTGGCTATGAAGACTCGTAATCATTGATTAGTGCGTTTCGATCCGTCTATTGTCACAGTTAAACAATCGTCTATTGATAGTCAAATTGTCAGTTCTCCAGTTGTTCTCTCGTAGTTAGTTTTGCTTGATCTTGTCAATAAGTTGTTTGTACAGCGCTGGTAACTGTTGGCTACGATTCAGTGGCGTTTGTTCTAAGTTAGTAAACCAGCTTTCTAAAGTGAGATGTTGATAGTAGTCTGTAGAATACGTTATACATGTCGCAGAGTCCCAGTCAGTTTGATGTTTCGTCTTTAAATGGTGCTCAGCAATGTGATTGTTGATGTCACCATTCCTCGTTGTGCGTTTGTGTTCGGTTAGTCGCGTGCTTAGGTTTGCAAGTTTCACCAATGTAAGAAGCCTGGCAGTTGTGAAAATCATTTCTTTCTTTTTTTTCATTTATTAATCAAAGATAGATTTGACCCTTATTTTACTCACTTAGTTATGTAATGCATACAATTGCAAAAAATTCCTGACATATAATATCCATTATCATTTTCTGTGAGTATTTTTGAGTGCCTTGAGAGACCTTGCCGTTAACCCTTTCCAGTCCAGGGAACAAGGGAAATTGCATTTTAAAGAGTCCAGTTTTAAACATTTCTCCAGGGAGCATGCCCCCAGAGCCCCCTAGAAGTTCTTGCCTATGGCACGAATGGTGCAAGTCTGTCAGCTAAACCTCTGCATCTGGTATTTCCAATGGCTACTGAAAACCTGGTGCCATTGGTCAATTCTCAGCCACTAGCCTTGACTCAATTTAAATATATCCCGATCATGATGCAATTCAGCAATATTGTACCCTGCTTGGGATACAACAGTACAATGTCAAAGCATGGTGGAAGGTGGCGTGTCAGAATTAAAAGGCAGGAAAAGCATTGTTAGTTTTCACTCTCCTAAATGAACACAATAACACAAACATGGATCCACAGGCTAAAGAGCGACGATTTTCAGGTCCCTCTGGAAACCAGTTACCGTATTTATTCGATTTACTGCCCTGGGCGCTTATTAAATTTTTGGACCTTGAGAGTGGGCACTTATTCGAGGCTGGGCGCTTATTAAATTTTCACCATTTTTGGCAAGTGTAGTATGTTTATTTTGCAACAAAAGAATAAAAGGTGACCATGAAATGTGAAGATGTAACAAAGCAAGGTTTCTGTAACCTACCCCTACTCAGAAGAAAACTCCATCTACGGGGAAGTCTCTTTATGTTAGTACTTATTCAATTTCAATCTCATTGTCACCCAAGTGGGTTGGCGCTCATTAACTTTTTTTCCCTTTAGGATGGGTGCTTATTTGAGGTGGGCACTAATTCGAGGTTGGGCGCTTATTCAAATAAATACAGTAGTTTTGTTTTCGCAAGAGTTGTGATGTTTCGTGATTTCCTAGCTTACAGTCTAGTGATCCGAAAATTATAGGGATCAAAACTTACCTTTTCGAAAATTTCAGCCAGAAAAAAGGCTCCCAAAAATTCTAGGTGACCTTTGTAGGGGTAAAAATCCATTAAAAATGGGCAATTATACCATTTTGGGAGGGGTTTGAAAATCCTAGGAGAGGCAGGCAAGCAAGAAATTTAACAACAAATGTTCCGAAAATTCTAGATCTCAGATTTATGGAGGCAGATTTATGGAGGCAGCGTGGCCGAGTGGTCAGCGCGTCGGACTCGCAATCCGGCGGTCCCGGGTTCGAGTCCCGCTCTGGCCACTTGCTGGATTTGTGCTCGGTCGTCCCGAGTTCAAATTCTCGGCCACGCTTGTAAATAGCCAACTGGTTGCCTTCTGCCAGTTGGGTTTTTTAATCCTGTTATGTTGTGTTGAGTGGAGTGCCTGTAAATTAGCTGACTAGCTAAGTGCACCTTCCACTATAAACATGCCTTTAACCTTTAACCTTAACCTTTTTATTGTCTTCCGAACAGATATTTTCCAAAAATTGTCGTTGGGTGCCCCTGATGTAGAAAAGAGTGGGAAATTAATCCTCTATTAAGTGGGCACAGCCACCTTTTGGCTGTGTTCTTGCTGGGCAAGTAACTTTTTTAGCTCACTTGTCCAATGGGCAAGGCTTCCAGCAAGTCTTCTGGTGACAAAATTATCAGTGAGTAAGGTAAACAAGCAGTGGCCCTGGGCAAGCAAATTCAATGATTTGTTTAGGTCTGGAATGAAGCAAAAATCTCCCAAAACAATATACAATAACAATAATATTTAATTAATTTATTGTAATGTAATACTTATTGTATCCCAATTCTACTTTGTGCCCATCACTCTTTTTTAATAGTTTATTATTATCATTATTATTATTATTATTATTATTATGTTTATTGTTATTATTATTAGGACTTTATTTACTTTATTTATGTGTACTGTTTCATGTGGCAACATTAATTTATTTGTCACATCCTTCAAAATCACTTAAATTGACAGCTTGATCCATGCTTAAATTTTCCTTCTTGAATCGGCCTGTAAACCTAAACTTAAAATTTACTGCTGTGTGACTGACCCTAATACAACTTCCTCAAACTCATTAATAATTCATGAAGCAAATTAATGTTTAATGAGTGTTTGGAAATCAGATGAAAAACTGCTCTGTTTTGCATCCTTAATTTCTCCTTTTAAAATCATTTTGTTTGAGAAGTAATATCAAGCATTTGACACAGTGTTTCATCAACAGATTATGTTTGACAAAAATACTCAGGTGCGTGTCGTATTTTCAACTCTCCTCTCGGTGTTTCATGTAGTGATTAAACACTGCGTCTCGTGCTTGATATATTACGTCAAATTCCGAAATCCAAAAGCAGTTACCTGTTTTTTTTCATTTATAGTGTGTAAAGATTAGTATTGATATATTTACAGGATAACAAGAAATTGCTCGAAGAGAACAAGAACCTTCTGAGAGAAAATACAAGACTCAAAGAGGACCCCAAATTTTCCAAGTCCCCTCAAAGGTACATGTGTTGTCCTGTATATAAAGAAAATAATTAAATAAATAAATAAAAGTTAACGATTTAGAGGTAGCACATCCACATAGTCGTTCCATTCCTGGTCGAACTGGAATTTGGAAATGTTAGTTTTTGAGGAGAGTGGATAACCGACGTACTCGAAGAAGAGCCTCTTGGAGCAATGGAGCGAACCAACAACAAACTCAATTGAAGCCAGACCACATTATTGAGACTTGGGAGTGAGTTTTCTCACCACTGGGAGGTCAATAGGTTACTTTCTATACTGTTTCTTTTAGGTACAGTCACTACACAATGGCTGGGCTTCAAACCAAGGTAGGTCAATATGAGCGCGAGGTTCAGCAATTGAGAAGGGCTTTGGTAAGGAGCGACAACTACATTGACGATCTGTCCAGCAAATTGGAAGTGGCCACAGGACAACCACTTCCCAAGACTACAAGACCCAGGAATAGCCCAGCTACTTGTTCCAGTTCCTGTACAATTACAAGCCTTGCTAGTGAAAAGGATGCAGTTGAGTGCGTGACTAATAGTGACCTTCAAGAGGCAGAAAAGTCAGATCTACCAGAAGCTGCAAACCTTGCCAATGACAATAAAAAGAAAAGGCTGGCTGCCGCAAGTGATTCGGAAAACCAGACTCCCCGGGTTCACTCGCCTCTTCTTGCACCGGCTAACGGTGAAAGGTTGTCTTTTGAGAGAGGAGCTGCTTTGGGGGACGAAAGAGAATCCGGTTTGAGTTCCAGACGTAGCTCTGAAGTCAGCTTATATGGGCAAGACCTGGATATCCCTCCAGGGCCACTGACAAGCTCGTTGAACATTCTAGAGCCAGTGGAAGGGGAAGCTATCGACCGCCCACCCTCAAGAGGTGAACTCCTGTTACTTGGCGACCGGTCGTCCAGGCGAGCAGAGAAACCACCGCTGGAGGAAAATCTCGACATGTTTACAGCTAGTCGACAGTTGATTCTGTTAAGTGAACGGCGATCAAGGCATAGAGATGGAATAGAATCCTTGAAAATGCGAGATCTAAGCGAGTGTTCACCAAGCAGCTCTGACGGAGGAAAGAGGAAGTTGCTGGACACCAAGTCGATTGATTTTGATGTGCTTGTGAATGCTGCAGGTGACGATTCAGCAAGTAACTCCACCTCGCGAGAATCGCCACCCAACTTCACCAGGGATGAGCTCGACGACAGAGCCTCACCCGAGATTCGCACTTTCTCTCTGGCCAAAATAAAATCGGAAATTGGCATTGGACAGGAAAATGAAATTGCCCCAAAGAAAGCACGATTAGAGAGTGGAGATTATGGAAACGATTCTGACAGTGTTGAACAAAGAGACTCATGATATCAGAATATCACTCCATATTGCAATACATTCGCCGCGTATGCATTACCCATAATACACTTTGTTTGCCCATAATTCACCACTTTACAAACGAGAGGGAAACTGGGACGAATTAACTTTCGCAAAGACTTCTGGGGCTGTTACTGGGGACTGGGGAAAAGAATAGCTCAGGTTCGATTTTTTAAAAATTCTATCATGACTCCGAGTCTTTCTGGTCATATTTCTAAATTTGGTTTGGTTTTCTTCGTGCTCAAGTCTCTCCTGGGAATTGAAAGACAATAAAGCAGTTAGATATTTGCAATTTTGCCCATAAAGCCTCGGAGTCGCGTTAGAATTTTAATATATCGAACCTGGGCTATTGGCCAATAGTTGACCGTTGCTTCCCCATCAACGTTCCCAGAACCAATTGCGGGGCGCATTTCGGCCCCATTTCCCTTTTCGTCTCTAAAGTGGCGATTAATACGCACTGCTTGCCTGTAATACCCATTCCAATTATGTGAAATTTTGGGGGGTCAAACAGGACAAATAGGTAATGCAAAAATGGTCAATAGACCTACGTTAGATGTACATGTGTCACTTTGAAAGTAGAAATATTTTAATTTATTTAAATTAATGTTTTGTTAATAAGTTATAGTTTTGCATACGTCAGACGCATGCGTTTTCTTTTAATTAAATGATCTCGTACATTTTCCCCAACTAGGAGCTTTCATATTACTAAGTAATGTTTCATGTCTTGTTTTATAAACAAGCAAACAAGCGGGGTATTTTTATTTTCAGGTTTAAATTTTGATATGCAACCATTTTATTTAGAGTACGGGATGTGTCTCTGTTTCTTTTTTTTTTTTTTGAGTCTGTCGAGTAGAACGCGCGAGAGACGGAAATGCCGAAGGTTCGCCTCTCTCTCTCGCGCGCGCGCGCTCGTGTACTGCCACCCTACTTACTTAAAAGAAAAATTATAGACTGCTTACGATCCAGTGTGATTTAAGACTTGAGGAAACGTCACCTGGAAGTTTATTGACGTATAAGGCTTCAAAGCTTGATTGTAAATGAGCCCAAACTAACTATGTTGTGTTTCCCGTATGTATTGCAAACACGTGTTTAGACTTAACCTGAAGAAATGAGCGATAAAATCTTACAAACTTGGGCTAAGTGCATAGATTAGCATTAGTTGAAACCAGAAATTTCACCTAGACCACGTCGGAATAGGTAACTAACCGATTTGCTCGTAATCAAAACTATAATTTGACCTAGCACTCTAAACTTGTTGTTTGTCGTAATGAATAGGCCCCCAGTCGTTGAGAGGGTGAATACCTCTTTCCACCGGATAAATCTCTATCCAGTGAACCAAAATGGGTTTTAAAAATCCATTGAATAACGATTTACCCAGTGGATGGCGCTATTCACCATCTAAAAACCTGGGACCTGTCTTCTTATCTATAAAATACCATTGTGCCGTTGTGTAAGTAGACTGTTTACAGCTCTCTATTTTTTGTTTATTGTTATTGAACTTTCACACATCTAACGAAAATAGGGGTGAAGCTTTTTTTTTCATTAGCTGCGTCACAACAGGTTACCAACTCCCTTTGTCGACATCAGACATGGTGTGCAAGAGCGTGGTTTGCGGGAAGCGGGAAATATTCTTTCATGGACCCCATACCCTTTCTCTCTTCACACGCCGCGCCCTACACTTTTCCTGGTTGGTTATGCCATTTTAAAAACTTATGAGGTGTCGACTTGTAGCAAGTCTAGCCGTGTCCGTTTTGCTGGATTATTTCCTTAGGTTGCGAAGGGAGTCTGTAGACAGTCTGCTGTTTTAAACACACGTCTATCCGGACGACTTTTTCACCGATTTAATATATCTTCATAACTTAAAAAAGGGACAGCACTCTATCTACCCCACGCACTCCAAGAAATAATGTCACTCTGAATGCTGATTTACATCGTTTCTGTTCTGTGTGGAATCCCCAAAAACTGTACTACTACTTCATGCACAGTCTTAATGTTTTGGAAGATTCTGGGTGTAGCTTGATATTGTTTCTAAGGGCTTCGTCTCTTTTACCTGTACTTGAATGTTTTCAAAGCTATTACCGGGCTTGCGACCTGCCCCCCCGGGGGGGGGGGACTCCGCATATGAAATGGGTGGCGATGCTCGTCGTCTCGCTGAGGGGAGTAAATTTCGGATTTTGGTCTCACTTAGGGTGTTCTGGGCAAAACGCCATTATATTTAGCCGTGAAGGTCTCGTTTAGGGTTGCACGCGAAAAAATATGAAAGTATATATTTGATATGTATATATTTTTTCGTCTCTTTTAGGGATCAAAAAAAGCTTGGGCCACGCCCAGATCGGTCTCCTTTAGGGGTTTAATTCAAAATTTCCGACAAGCATCCCCATCCCTTTCATATGTGGAGTTCCCCCTCCCCCGGGGCGCCTGCCAAGTACATGAACTGTTGATTTTTAAGTCACTAATAATGAATACTTTTTGTAACCAAACTATCAAAACTCACTGTTGAAATCTATACCTTTATTGATATTAGTCTGTTGTTGGTAGCGTACGTTGTATGTCTGCCGTGAAAAGATGGTTCTAGCAAAATGTGCTAATTAACTAAGATACCGACTTACTGACCTCGATTAGCAGGGTCATCCAGTGAGTTACAAACAAGCTTTAACTGTCACGTTTAATGTATCAAGTTAACCCTTTAAGCCCTGAGAGTGATCAGCATCAAATTTCTCCTTGTAATATCAATGCTTTGTAAAACAGAGAGGTCATGAGAATTACTGACATGATCACAGATGAATTCGAATTTGCCTGATATTTCATCAACTTCTCCCCACTACTTCGGTGGGAAATGAATGGGGCAACAAATAAGAATTCAAATTTTGATCTTGGGGTTTAAAGGGTTAAAAGGGCCATGTCACGAGGATATTGCTGTTTTACTATCCTGTGCTTAAGTCATTACTAAGTGCTTTTTTCCATTTACAAAATGCTCCTGCAGAGTCATAAGAAGATATCAGACAAATTTTATCAGGAAGCACTTATCTTATTAACCCTTTCACTGCCAAATTTAGCCAAAAGCAAATTTCGACCAAATTTCCAAATTTCATTTTGTGAAATTTTGAAAAATAAATAGCACCATGTGTAAGTACAGGCGGAGAGGTTTCATTTGAATGGTCATATCATAAGATTTCGTCCGCAGACTCAAAAGTTAGAGTCACCTTACAAAACTCCATCAAGTACTCCGGCAGTGAAAGGGTTAATTTTTTGGTGATTTTGTGCATCCATAACTACCGGAAACAGTTTCAATGCCTAAATGTGGTCTTGAATAACAAAATGAAACCAATTTTTTTTGGCCTGATTTGATGCTTTTTAAAAATACAGCAATTAGTGTGACATAACCCCTTTAGATGGATACTTGTTCATGTTTATGAATATCCCTGCCTACATTTGATTCTAATCGGCTTTGTTGTTTTAGTAGACGTGCGACCTTAGACTTAATTGGAATTCGACTTAATTCAAGTAGGACTATATTTTTACAATGATAACGCAACTAATTTCTGTGGGAGGCAGTGTATTTTTTTAATTAACTAGAAACCCCCATTTACACTGACCCGTTCTTTGAAAACAATATGTAATGCTGTTTGATGTCGAAGTTGTTGTCATATCTAACGCGTTTTTAATTCTTTCAATTAAGAACACCAAATAACAAAGTTACTCCTCCTCTAGAAAGATGTGACAATCCAAATATGCCAAGACGCGTTAAAATTGAATATCGTTTCATCAACTTCAAAGCAAACAACATTTAAAGTTGTTTAGGTGGCGGTAATGATATGTGAAAGGGATACGAGTTTATACACTCATGTATCATATAGATTCGAAACAGTGAAAACCCGCGACTAAGAACCTGTATTTTCCTAAGTTAGCCCAAACAGGATTTTTCATAAATAGTAGTATGCACCAATTTAGGCTTTTCATAGGTTCTTAAATAGGTTCTTATTTTCTGAGAAGAAAAAAGAAGAATTGTAGCTAATGGTATTTAGCTTGTTCCGTGTATAAAACTGTATCATTGCATCAAAAACAATTTTATTTGATTTTCAAAATTGGCATTTACATTGCAGTGGGAGCTTGTAATAAGACACCAGTGTCTCCAAATAGGATCCTGAATGTCGACTTATCTTATTTGCCCAAATGTACAGAATATGTCTTTAGATTTTAGAAAATAAGAACCTGTTTCAAATTTTAGGCTTAACAGGTTCTTGTATAGAGTGGGCCTAACTGGCAAATTCTAGCCTATAACAGGTTCTTAGTCGCGGGTTTTTACTGTATATGTCTCAGGACACTAAAATCAACATAAATTTTGAAAAACCGTTATTGTATTTTAGTTAAGTTATTATTGTTTGATAAAGTTTAGCAGTACCATGATTGGTATAAAATCATAGACCGAAATTCATATTTCAGATCCATCTCGTAACCGATCGAGATAGCCCTCGTAGCGTGCGCACGAGAAATAAACTCCTCGTGCGTGTTGTCCTCTCTCTCGCGCGCTCTCCACTTTCTCGCGATTTTATCCTGCGTGCCACGTTTCTAATGCGCCAGCCACGTAGGCTGCCGATCGAGGTGGTATCGTTCATGATCCTTTACCTTTCTTTTCACATCAGTTCATGGATTGGGTCTTTTTCTCCGAGAATATATGCGGAACGAAACTTTTTCTTGGCCGCCTATTTCTCTGTTTGGCCGTTTATATACTAGAGGACGCCTTATCCGCCCGGCCGGATAAAGCGTCTGTGGCCGTTTTGATACTATGGCTGCATTATCCGTCTGAACGAACTTGGGCAAACATTTGTATTTCGTCGGGTTACGCGTCTCGAGTATGAAGATGGCTGGAGAAATACGCATTGTGCATGTAGACTAACTATCCTTCGTAATAAGTTTTAAACGACCCACTACGGAAGGTAGAAGTGGGTCTGGACACACAATGCGTCTTGTACCCGTCTGTATCTGTATAC